GCTCTTCCTTGATCTGGAGGCGTCAGGGATGAGAACGGAGCGGCTGCAGACGTGGAGTTTCCAGCAGGGGACTGCCGCTGCATCAGGCATCACGTGGCCCGGATTGTCCAAATGCCCACCAGGGACCAGAGAGCGGGGGTGCTGGAGCGGGCGGGGAAGTGGCCCGTGGCTGAGCGGAGCAGAATGCCTCCCACCGCAGTCTCTTGTCTCTCCTGAGAGACCTGGAGAAGAGCGGCCTCCGCCGCACCTCCCTCGTGGGGAGACGGCACCTTGGGGGGCCCCCCGTAGGCAGGCCAGCCGGGCGAGGGCTGTGGCGCCAAGACGCATGCTCTGAAGGCTGCGGGGTTCTCCTTCCTCCAGTTTGGTGTAGTGGTTAAGTGCATGGACTCTAATCTGGGAGAGCCGGGTTTGATTCCCCACTCCTCCACTTGCACCTGGCTGGGTGACCTTGGGCAAGCCCTAGTTCTGATAAGAGCTGTTCTTGAAAAAGAGCAGTCCTCTCTCAAGAGCTCTCTCGTCCCCACCCAACTCACAGGGTGTCTTCTGTTGTGGGGAGGGGAAGGGAAAGGAGTTTGTGAGCCCCTCTGAGACACCTTCGGGTAGTGAAGGGCAAGGGGTATAAATCCAATCTCTTCTTCTTCTTCCTCCAGGCCAACGGGAACCAGCGGGACTTGAACGTGCGGGAAGCCTGGCGACAAGGCTACACTGGCCGAGGCATCGTGGTCTCCATCTTGGACGACGGCATTGAGAAGAACCACCCGGACCTAGAAGCCAATAGTGGGGGGGGGCAGCGCGGGCCGCGGGGGGGGGGCAGCATGGGTCCCACCTCCGCGTGCGCTTCTCCTCCTCCTCGGCACCCGGAGGTGGATCTTCCTGGGAAGCTGCCCTGCCTGTGGGGGGAGCTGTGGGGAGGAGGCCCCCCCGCAGTTCCCTCAGAAGCCCCTCGTGGGGTCCCGGGGCCACAGGGACTCCAAGGCACGGTGGTGTAGCGGTTACGGGGCAGAAACCCAGATCCGAGCCCCCCCCCCCCCCCCCGCGCACGGCAGGCCGGATGGGGCCCGAGGCTGTGTGTGCCTGTAGTCTCCGGGCAGGACTGGCAGACGTGGAGGAGAGGACTCTTCCTGTACAGAGCAGAATGGGGGGGGGTCTCCCCTCAACTAGTTCCCCGGGGGGGGGGTCTTGGGGAGGGGGCGGCACTGACCTCCTTTCTCTCCAGGACTCTGCTGCCAGCTTCGACGTGAACGACCAGGATTCGGATCCCCAGCCGCGCTACACGCAGATGAATGACAACAGGTGTGTGTCTGTCTGTCTGCCTGTGGGTGTGTGGAGGGGGGGGGCTTTCTGATTAAATTGGGCAGGAGGCAGGCGGGGGGGCAGAGTGGGCCAGGCCTCTCCTTCCTCATGTGGCGCTGCGCACGGCCCGCACGGCACTGGGTGCTGAGGAAGACCCCCGTGGCTCTGGGCCGGGCACTGGGCAGGCCAGCCGGTCCTCACCCGCTGTTCCCTGCGGCTCGTGGGGGTGGGATCCAGCCCCTGTCCCACTCCCGCTGCTTCCGCTCTCTCCCGCTGCAGGCACGGCACGCGGTGTGCGGGGGAAGTGGCTGCTGTGGCCAGCAACGGCATCTGTGGGGCGGGAGTGGCCTACAACGCCAAGATCGGAGGTAAGCGGCCTGCGGGGACGTCCCGTGGCCCACTTAGGGGGTGGCCCTGGTGGGGGGGGGGGGGTTCTATTCTGCATTTGTTTATTCCTTAGTTCGATTTATACCCCGGTCTCCCCGCCAAGGAGGGCACAGGGCAGCTTGCATAAAATGCATATATAAATACAGTTAAAAACATGCATAAAGCAATTACCCAAGTCAGTTACCCATTTTCCTAATTTGTGATGAACTGTCTTTGGAAGGCAGGCCCGGCTCTGCTCGTCCCCTGGAGCGGGGAGAGGCGGGTGCGTCTTTGCCTCTGAGTCCGCCGGCCCGGAGGGGGGTCCGAGTAACCCTGTCTCTTGCCCAGGGGTGCGCATGCTGGACGGGGAGGTGACGGACGCCGTGGAGGCCCAGTCCTTGGGCCTGAACCCCAACCACATCCACGTCTACAGCGCCAGCTGGGGCCCTGAGGACGACGGCAAGACGGTGGACGGCCCTGCCCACCTGGCCGAAGAGGCCTTCTTCCGGGGCGTCAGCCAGGTCAGCGGGTGGGGCCGGCCCGTGGGGAGGTCTGGGGGGTGGTGCCGTGGGGCTGTGTCCCTTCAACCCGGCTGCCTCCCTTGCAGGGCCGCAACGGGCTGGGCTCCATCTTCGTGTGGGCCTCGGGGAACGGCGGCAGGGAGCACGACAGCTGCAACTGCGACGGCTACACCAACAGCATCTACACCCTCTCCATCAGCAGCACCACCCAGTCGGGGAACGTGCCCTGGTACAGCGAGGCCTGCTCCTCCACCCTGGCCACCACCTACAGCAGCGGCAGTCAGAACGAGAAGCAAATCGTGAGTCCCGCCGTGGGGGGTGGGGGGTGGGAGGGGCTGGGTGCTCCCGGAGCAGCACTGGCTCACTCTGTGCCCCCTCCCCCCCAGGTGACGACAGACTTGCGGCAGAAGTGCACGGAGTCACACACGGGCACCTCGGCCTCCGCACCCCTGGCTGCCGGCATCATCGCTCTGGCCCTGGAAGCGAAGTAAGGGGGTGGGCAGGGGGGATCCTCCGGGGGCTCTTCAGGGCCGGCTGGATGTCAGAGGGGGCCCCCACCCCGTAACCTTCCTCTCCTTCTCCCTCTCCCCTGTAGCAAGAACCTCACCTGGCGAGACATGCAGCACCTTGTTGTGAGGACCTCGAAGCCCGCCCACCTCAACACCAACGACTGGGCCGTCAACGGGGTGGGCCGGAAAGGTGACTAGGCCAAGGGAGCTTGGGGGTGGGCGAGGGCTTAGTGGGTGGGCCTGGGAGCGGGGTGGGCCTGACCTCCACCCGTGTCCCGTCTGTGTGATTGCAGTGAGCCACTCCTACGGCTACGGTCTCCTGGATGCTGGGGCCATGGTGTCTCTGGCCAAGAACTGGACCTCGGTGGGCCCCCAGCGGAAGTGCGTGGCTGACATTCTCCTGGAACCCAAGTGAGTCCCGGGAGCGCAGGGGGGGGGGTTTCCTCCCTTGTCCAGACGAGCTGGACACAGGGCTGGACACAGAAGCGCAGCCGCCGCAGCCGCCCTCTTCTACCCCAGGGCTGGCTAAACTGGCTTAACGTAAGAGCCACACAGAAGAAACGTCAGATGTTTGAGAGCCGCATGACATGAACAAATATTACAGACATGTTTTTAATTGGGAAATATGCGAATTTGCTTTTTATTAACATTAAAAGAGACTGCCAAAAATAAAAACAAAAGGGGTAAAAACAGATATTGATAATGATATTGGTTTGTCCAATGCTATTTGTAGGCTTCGGGGGGGGGGGGTGAGAACACATTTAGAGTTGCTTCCTTTCTCTGCTTCCCCCCCCCCGCTTCAAGCCTACCAGGGGAGGGGAACACTGGCTGGGGAAGGGGAGACCGACTGGGGAGGGGAGGGGGGGCACGCCTCCCCTTCGCTTCCCCAGCGGCCCTGGCCGGGAGCCATGCCATATGTGTGAAAGGGCCGCATGTGGCTCCCGGGCCACGGTTTGGCCACCCCTGGTCTACCCTCATGCTCAGCTGGGAAGTTCCGTGTGCAGGCAGAGGAGTTTTGTGCTCTGGCAGGCTGGTTCTCTGAGGGTGAGCTGGGGGGGGGGGTCCTGAAGAGGGACACACCCAACCCCCCCCTTCCCTGCCCACAGTGACAAAGGGGCCTGTTGCGGCAGGTCAGTGTTCCCAGAGCACGTGTGTGCCCGGAAAGGGCCCGTGACGTGTGGCGGTGGCCGTCCCCCGTGGCTCCAGGCCTCAGCTGGAGTGAGCCAGGAGGGCTCTGAGCAGTGCTCCCTCTAAGCTTGTGTGAGCAAAAATCCTACTCTATGGGCTCCTGGCATTAAAGCTGTGAGCGAGCCATTTGGCTGCTGCATCAGTCAGTTTGCTCCGGAGCAGCGTTCCTTCTGAGCTGAGTTAGCGTGAGCCAGCTCACCGTTTCTTAGCCTTCGGCTCACACATTTTTGCCTTAGCTCAGGAAGGGTGGGGCTCCAGAGCAAGCTGATGTACGCAGCAGCCAAAGTGCTGTCTCGCAACTTTAAGGCCAGTAGCTCACAAAGTAGGATTTTTTATTTATTTATTTATCAAATTTATTATTTATCAAATTTATTATTTATCAAATTTATTATTTATCAAATTTATACCCCACCCTCCCCCGTAGGGACGAGACTCCACAGCTCAGAGGGAGCCTTGTTCTGGAGCCCTCCTCCCTCAGCTAAGACAAAAACGTGTGAGCCGGAGACTCAAAAACTGTGAGCTGGCTCACACCAAGTCAGCTGAGAGGGGGAACACTGGCCCTGCCCACACGAGGGGCCTCCCTTCAGGCCCTGCGCAGCCCTCGTGCAGACACAGGGAGAGGGGTCCGCTCCGTGGCCACTCCCCTGCCTGGCCTCTGATGGGCAGCGCTTACCCGTCTCCCTCCCTCCCTCCCTCCCTCTGCAGAGACATTGGAAAGCGGCTGGAGGTGCGCCAGCGGGTGGACGCCTGCCGGGGGAAGGCGAGCTACATCGGCCAGCTGGAGCACGTGCAGGCCCGCCTCACCCTTTCCTACAACCGGCGAGGAGACCTGGCCATCCACCTCATCAGTCCCGCAGGCACCCGCTCCACGCTGCTGGCTGCCAGGTAGGCCTACCCCCAGGGGTCATTTCCTAGAAAAAGAGGTGCAGGGGCTCATTAGCATAACTCATTTGCATAGGCCACACCCCCTGACGTCACCAGAAGTGAGTCAGAAAGCAACACCCACTGCAACTGACCTGGCTGCTTCTGGCTCTGACTGGGGCCTGCTGGGAGCAGGGGGCGGGGCTTCTTGCATGTGCCCGCCCCCTGGTCTCTTCACAGCCGGAGCTCCCCTCCTGTGCGCTCCTGCGGGAAATGACCCCTGCCTGCGCCACACCTCTCCCTCTCTCCCCCTCCCTCTCTCCCCCTCCCTTCCTCCTGCAACGGAGGCTCCACGGCCCTTTTGCAGCTGCCTCTCAGCCTCACCTGCTCTCTTCCACCCCACCCCACCCCACCCCTGGCCAGGCCCCACGACTACTCGGCTGATGGCTTCAACGACTGGGCTTTCATGACGACACATTCCTGGGACGAGGACCCAGCGGGGGACTGGGTGCTGGAGATTGAAAACACCAGCGAAGCCAATAATTACGGTACGGGTTGTCCGCCTTCTCCCCTTTGCGCACCCTGTTCCCGGCAGTGCCAGCCATGTGTCCTCTCTCTCGCTCTGTGGCAGGCTGCGTCCTCCTCTGCTGTCTTCCCCGCCCCCCCTCCGGCGGGCCAGCTGTGCGCGCTCCACTCCCCAGCAGGCAGCCGGCTAAGCCCTTCCTGCTCTAATCCCCGTGGCTGAGGCTGCAGGGCAGCGTGGGCAGGTGGAGCAGCCGGCCTGGCCGGTTCCCCGCCTGTGGGAGTGGAAGAGCCAGCCAGCCAGCCAGCCGGGCCTGTCTCTCCTGGGTGCTGTGGCCCCCCCTCCCTCCCCCCCTCCCTGCCTCAGCCCAGAGCACCCGGAGCCACCTTTCTGCGGGGGGCAGGGGAGGCTTTCCACGTAGGCTGAAACCGGCCAGCTTCCGGGCAGGCGTTTTCCTCTCGGGCTCCTTTCGGCCGCTTTGTGACCCCCCCGCCCCCCTCGGGCCGCCATCCGGGGGGCGGGCACCTCGGGCGAAGGGGGAATGGGGCAGTCCCGCTGCCCGCCTCACCCGCCCTGTTCTGCTCACAGGGACCCTCACCAAGTTCACGCTGGTGCTGTACGGGACAGCCGCGGACCTCCCCAACCAGTTTGAGAGCAGCGGCGGTGGCGGCTGCAAAACGCTGGCTACCGGCCAGGCTTGTGTGGGTAAGTTCTGTCCCACCCAGAACCCTCTGGGCCCCCTGCCGGTCGGGAGAAGCGGAGGCGGGCTGCTGAGGGGCCCCACCCCCACCCCCCGCAATGGCCTCCGCTGGCGGGCTG